TGTTGAGGAGGTCGCCACCGGAGCGGCGCCGATGTGCTGGAGAAAGTTGAGGAGGCAGAGGAGGAGGAGGCGGAGGAGGAGGAGGCGGAGGAGAGGAGGAGGCCCTGACGGTGGAGGAGGAGGGGGTGGAGGCATGGGAGAGGAGGAGGCCCTGACGGTGGAGAAGGAGAACGTCGAGGAGAGGAGGCCCCGACGGTGGAGGCGGAGGTGGCGGTGGAGGAGGAGGAGGAGGAGGAGGAGGAGGACGAAGAGGAAGAGGGCGAGGAGGAGGAGGAGGAGGAGGAGGACGAAGAGGAAGAGGGTGAGGAGGAGGAGGAGGAGGAGGAGGAGGAGGAGGCCCTTGCGATGGAGAAGGAGGACAGCCCGACGATGGAGAAGGGTTCGACGATGGAGAAGGAGGAGGAGGTGGAAGATGGAGAAGATGAGGGTGTGGAGGAGAAGGACGAAGTAGGGGTCGAGGAGGAGGCCATGACGATGGAGGAGGAGGGAGATAAATTAGAGGAGGAAGAAGAAGAAGAAGGGGAGGAGGAGGAGGAGGTGGAGGAGGAGGATGACGACGAGGAGGAGGACGACAACGACGAGAACTGGGAAGGGGATGAGAAAAAAACGGAGGAGGAAGAAGAGGAGGACGCCCTGACAATGGAGGAGGAGGAGGAGGTGGAGGAGAAGAAGGCCACGGCGAAGCGAAGGTGTTTTTTTTTTTTTTTTTTCCGTCCGATCACTCAATCACTCACTCAATCAATCAATCAATCAATCAATCAATGGAGGATCCCTTTGAATCAATCGTTTAATTGATTGATTGGTCAATTGATCGGACCAAAGACAACGATAACAACAACACCAAGTTGCCTCGTCGTGCGCAAGTTGCAGTTGTTGCGTCGTGCGCAAGACAAAGCAGCGACAATTGCTGCGTCGTGCAGTTGCAGCCTCTCCATTGGAACCCCGCAACCACCCGGCCACCTAACCACCTAACCACCCAACCCCACCCTCCAACACACCCCAACCTGTTTCTATTTTTTTTTTCCAATTTTTTTGGGGGGGGGGTGCTGATAATGCGCAGACCCCCTTCATTTTTATTTTTATTTTTATTTTATTTTTAGTGGCAAAAATGTTGTTGTCCGATTTTTCGGACTACTCCCCCTCAATCGTCTCCCGGAGACGTCCGGGGGAGACGTCTCCTGATCGGACAGCTGGTAACTTAGGTTGCTATGCTTTGTGTTGTTGGTTATAAAGACGATATGTATATCTGCTGCAGTGATTAACTTAAGCATGCTTCATTGTTTACAATGGAGAGAAAGTTATTTCCATTTTGAACTTTCTAATCTGGGTGGAACAAGGGCGGTCCGCTATCATGGTGGAAAGTTACTACATGGAGACACAAAACCTCCTATCGAGTAGGTGAAGTACCAACAAAAATAGTATGGCACGATCGTGCTTTTCTTTTGTTGAGTTGTATATTGCAAATATGATAATCCACAATACGACCTTGTCGAGCTCTCCTTTCAGGCCGAATGATGAAGCTAGGTCAATATTGTGGCATGCCATTGAGTATCCATGGATGAGTGGGAATGCAAAGTGGGGTTTATGGTTGTATTAGACTTATTGTCATTATGCAATTCAAACACAATTGTCAGTTCTCTCCAAGCACAATTGTCAATTGTGCGAACCAATGGTTTTTGTGCTGGATTGAATTACCATTGACACGATAGTTTTATTAGTAGGTTGTGAGGCATTTTTTGTACCTTTTTATTGTTGTTGTTTTTGTGATTGTTCGCCTATTTCTTTGACTAGGATATTCAAACATTTTGGATTCATTTTTAAGATCGAGAACATTATGAATTGACTATGAAAAAGTTTTTTTTTTTTTTTTAAATTCTTAGTAAGGAAAGTTATATGACCTGCAATTCCTACAACGTAGCTTTCATTTAATGAATTAAAAAAAAAAAACTTAAGGTCACCTATAGTTATAAAAGTGTGCGACCGAACTTCACACTAGGCGCATATGGCTTATCTTCAACTGGCAACAGTAGAGGAAACAAAGCATGCCATAAAAGCACATTCATAGGGCACTTCGTGCTTGGAGCTGTGATGCAAGCCCCCTGGCGCTTATACGAGATGAGACGGCTCGAAGAGCGGTCGTTTTCGGGGAAGCATACCCTGCAGCCCTTCAGCCTTGTGCACTTGGGTGTGTGTTGCATGCTAGATCTTCTACTTTTTTATGTGTTCTTTGAAAGTGTTTTAATCCCTATGTTTATTATTATAGGGGTATGGGGTTCTATACAGAGAAAAATACGAGCAGCATATCAGTTTTTCTTATATACTTTACTTGGATCCGTTTTCATACTTTCAGCTATTTTATTGATTTTGTTTCAAACGGGAACCACTGATTTACAAATCTTATGAACAACAGAATTTAGCGAACGACGTCAAATATTGCTATGGATTGCTTTTTTTGCATCTTTTGCAGTGAGTTTTACGCGATTATTGTTTCTTCGTCATATTTCTGTTAATTCAGTCTACATTAGTTTATTTTTGCATATCTTTTTATTTGTTTAGGCATCACCAAACAATTTAATATTTTCTACTCCAAAATAAAATTTGTCTTCAATTTTTATTTTTCCTTCTAATTCATGTTTCAAACAAATGAATTGAGTTTTCAACATTTTTTCATCAAACATCATGTTATTTTATATTTGTTTCAGGTCCTTCTTTTTTCATCAATCTAATAAAAGGTTAAGTGATATGAAGGTATGTATTGGACTGCAAATCCACGAGTGATGGTTCAAATCCGTCCTTAGCTTGTGACACTAATTGTTTACGTAGGTCATACTAAATAATTACAACGCGCATTTTATTGTCTCGGAAACGTTCACCCATAGCACAACCTACATAAGGAGCAAGAAATTAGAGAAGCAAAATCTGATGTAGTTGTTGTCACAATAATAAAATTTTATAAAGCACCCGCTTCTGAAACAATTTTCATTAATTGTGTTACGGTCGAATGCTTATGACCAATTGCCACATACAGTACAACTTTTGCATTTATTAATATATTATCAAGTACAAGTCTTCATGATCTTCGTAATAGAATCAAAACGTATTTCAGTAAAAACCTCCAGACATTTGGTTTAAATTTTTGTGTGTTAACATATTTATGGTGTGATAAAATTAACTTATATTTTATGCTTTTATTTCATAAATTTCTTAAGACAAAATAGTTGAGAGATCTAATATGAAAACTTGAAGGATAAGAAAAATAATTAATAAAGCGCAATTGAAAGTGACTGTAAGAAATGATTCTAACTAAAGATATAAAAACAGATACATGCAGCGTCGTCAAAGTGACCTCACATTATTTATGCAATGCTTACTTCTTATTTTATCTTCATTCTTATTGTTTCCTACTCTTTATGGTAATGCCTGCTCTTATAGACGAGTGGTTTGTTTCTATTGTAATTAGAGCGTGTGATAAATCTGACTTCGATAAATCGTGTCACTGGACTTCGTATTCTATCGGTTAGTGTTCTAGGCCCGATGACTCCAATCAGAAAGTCATTCGTACAATGAACATAGTGAATTCTTCTAAAATGACTCCGACGAGCCGATTATGAATATCGGTGCATGTCAAAGCAAAGGCCTCAGAAGTTTGATCATCGCCCTGCTTAGTCTCATTTGTCGAGCATACAACACACGAAGAAGTGTTCTTAACTCTCAAGTATGCGACGTGCATCCCCGGACTGCGAATTCGGGGTCTTTCTTTTGCAAACGTATATTATATATGCTCATATATATCAAGAGACATTGGTGATCATTACCCCCAAGTTGGGGCAATGCAATTTAGGTAAGAAAAACGGACTACTTTCTTGACTTTAATTAACCGGAAAATAGTGTAAAGCGTACTACACACGAAGAAGTGTCCTTAACTCTAAAGTATGTGACGTGCATCCCCGGACTGTGAATGCGGTTATTTTTTTTTGCCAACCTATATTATACATGCTCACATATATTAAGAGATATTGGTGATGGTTGCCTTCAAGTTGGGGGCAATGCAATTTAAGTAAGAAAAACGAACTACTTTCTTGACTTTAATTAACAGCAAAATGACAAGAGTTATGTTTGAATTTCAATGTTGTTATTTGTTTCTTAAAAGGACGTAAAACATGATGGTTGGCAAAATATACACCAAACAATTCTCATACTTCTTGTTCTCACCAACCAGTTACTGGAAATATTTTCACTACTGAACAGTTGAGAGTTATTTCATCTACAGGTCTATGTACACGAAAACGTGAGTTATATTAAATACTCACGACATATACATTGAAATATTTTTGTTTATTATGTTTTTTCTAATTCTAATGCAATTATGTGAAAGGAATTGACATTAGTTGTTTATATCGAAACAACGGTGCAAAGATTGCTAAGACTAAATGCAAAAAATATGGTCAAATATTTTTGCATGTGTTATTAGATAAAATAGATCATGCTCAGGCATAAGCATCTACTCCTTATAAAATCTTTGTGGGTCTTATATTCATAAAATCAACCAAAACACATATGCTATAACCAAAACATACAAAATTTCGTAAATGTCATAAAAGAAGAAGTAAAGGCTACGACCAAAGGATAATTCATATATGAGAATTAACTCAACTCATTCTCAATGAACTTCTCTATACATATAAAGGAAAATGTGGGTCTCGCGTGACGGACCCACGGGAGACCCTGTTCCCTCGTGGGATTCCGCGTGCCGGTTCCACGGGCGGAGCACCAGCGGTTTGTAAAACCTCGCGACGGTTGGCCGAAAAAGTTTTTTTGGATTTCCCGTGGCAGGCATCGTTTGTGGCGGGGCCAAAGTTTTGTCGTCGGTTCAAAGTTCTCGCGGCGAGGCCGGCGAATGTTCGAATTCTGGTTGGCCCGCGGGTGGAGCTACCGGAACAGGGGGCGTTTGCACCTAGACGTGCTTTTAGGAGGGGGGGGTGTACGGGCAGTAGGCAGGAGTGTTGTCGTGCTGCGGGTTATATCGACGTGAACTTGGACAGGGTATCGGGATAGGGGGATGTGCTGCCATGGCTGTTGCTCATCCTATCGATGGAAGTAGCAAATGGTGCGTCCATGTTCTAGCCGAAGATTCATTGGATGTTGCTCATCCTATCGATGGAAGAAGAATGGCGCGAGCCGCGAGGTCGGAGAGTTATCATCTCTCTCTCTCTCTCTCTCTCTCTCTCTCTCTCTCTCTC